GATTGTTGCAAGAGATTCTATTGATGCAGTTAACCTCAAAATTTGTTTGCAAAAAAGTTTCGTTCCATCGCTATAGCGAATCATACTACACAGTTCATTAAAACAGCCACAAAATGTCAACGAACAACTTTTATTGTAACAATTTCGCTGTCTATTATAATAATTACAATATATTTTTAATAATATCGTAAAGATCGTTATTATTATTTTGTAAACTAGATTGAGATAATTACTTTTAATAAAATGGCCATTATTTGAAAGCTATATTTGTAAATCTGACCGTAACAGTGTGAATATAAATCTAGCAATAATGAAAAGCTTATGGTTGGTTTTCGATATCGTAACAAAGTATTTGGGAATTTTGCGATAATTAAGTATTTATAGCATCCATTAAAACAAAGGATTGATATAAATTTGAATAATGACTTTGTGGTGTTGAACATAATTTTCTATGGCAAATCGATCTCAATTAAAGGGCGTTCGTTTTTTAAGTAATTTATATAAATTTAATGGGATATTCAGACGTGAGGCTTTTATTGTGAAAAGTTTCGTGTTTGTTGATTTTGAATTAAATTGAACTGGGATTGAAATTAGTTTAAAATGAAAATTTAAAATTAAATAAAGTTAATGTATTCCTGACTAGTCCTTGCTAGTCCCATAAATTTGTGGTGAAGCTGAAAATCTGGAATTTTGAACAGATTTGTTGGTTTTATTAAATCGAGATCAAATTAGAATAACATTACTTGTGGAGTACAGAATTTATATATGAAAGGGCGGGAGGAGGAATCGACAAGCGGTAGCTATTTTAAGAGGTTGCCAGTATAGACTAGAAATTCCTACTAACGTTGATGAATAGCTTCGAGAGCTACTTACTAAAGTGCACATTATATGTGAACTGCAGTTTAAATGAAGTAAGTGAAGGAAGGACTACTTCAATGCAAACCTCATTCTTATATTTATATTCTCATTATTTTTTTAATAGCTTTTTTTACATCTACCAGAGCTCGAAGGTTAAGTCGCCTCGACCATACAAAATCGATTAAAATCTCGAGTCGACTTTGAGCTCTGATACCAACAAATAATCTAGTCAGAAATTTAAAAATTTAATAATAAGCATTCTTCTGACATTAAAATTCATGACCCATCAACAACTATACAAACGGAACGAACTTAAATGTACTTTTTGGAAATAAATTTTTTGATTGTTCCATGGATACTAAAGTTTATGATCGTGGTTGAATATTAATTGTAAAACTGTGGTTGGTCATAAAAATGTCAATATAAAACCGTGGATGTGCGGTTTTCAGAATGTTGATTTTTGGATAGGTGTCCAGAACATTTGGGGATTTTTGATTTGAAGTTTTTTGTGATTTTTGTAATTTGTCTATCAACATTTAGATTGAAATTTTAATAAATTTTGGCAAAAAGCTAGTGTTATTCTTAATAATCAGTTAGTACAGCCATCCAGGGGCGTAGCCAGGGGGGGCATAGGGGACCCGCCACCCCCCTACGAAAATCTGATAATTATTTTATTAAGTATTTATAGAGAAGAACCAGTTAATGTAGAGGAAGTGATGAAAGAAATGTCAAAATCAACACGAAAAATTAAATTTAATGTATGAATAATGAATTAAATAATTAAACTTATGAAGAATGAATATAGATTTAAGGATACAAAATAACGGTTTTTTAATTTTCGAAAATGCCCCCCCCCCCCCCCTTAAAAATTTTCTGGCTACGCCCCTACAGCCATCCAAGCACTAATAAAAAGCCTGATTAAGACATTTATGTTTCTATAATCTCTTCACACCAGTAATAAGTATTTACTTTATTTAAATTGGATCGAAGTTAATACATTTGTATTCCAGGTAAAATTTCCATATCGATGCTTCATCCTTTAATTTAATTTAACTTCTTTAATCTCCTTTAAAGATTATCAGGACAAACAGAACACATCTACAGAATCTGTGATGGATTATTTTATTTTTGCTTAAAAGCTTCGTTAGCATGTCCTAGATTCACTTAATCTAATTTCTCAAAGAAAAAAAGTCGCAGCTAAAGCCATCAAAGATTATGTCAGGATTATTATTTTTTTATGAACATGACATCGTCCGAAAGAAGAACATTGTTTGAATAAAAAATTATTGAGAGCTTTTTTTGTGCATTTAATGATAAATTTATAAAGTGAATAAAACTGAAAGAATTTCTGGGTGAAATTTCAAAACGATCGCAGAAATGTAAAATATTCCGAGTATTCAGCAGCTCTCGTATTCTGATCGTATATCATAGCACATGAATCTTTTATTAACATGCTGCAATTTGAAATATTTCAAAAGCATTTTTAACAATACTACAAACATACGTTTGGTTGTTTGTTGATGAACCATGGATGAACTTAATAATCGTTGTGACTAACAAGATTGTAATGAACACATGAATGAAATTTGTGCAATGCACATATGGTGAATGCTTGACTTGCACATGATGCAATAGGATTACATGTTCAGAACTTAATACAAAAGTACTTTTGTGTCCCTTTGAAGTTGTTAAGTTTTCTTCGACCTTATATGTAAGACTTAATGAGGTAAATTCTGAAAATAGCTTATTGATTCAATTGTAAACAAAATTGAAACATTGGACACAAAAATAGAAAATTTCATGTAATTAATGAAATCGTAATGTTAGCTTTGTGATTATTGCAGCTATCAATAGCTTTATTTTGTTGTGGACGTAATTGGATAAAAGTTGAAGCCAAATCTGCTTTTAATAAATGCGCAGTTTCATCATTATTAACATGATTCTTGGAAATTTTCAGGTTGCTGAAATGTTTATGTCCAATAATCAACTTAATTAATTCAATTATTTGCGCTGGATTAATAACTGATTATAATTGATTTTATGATGATTGTTTTGTTCATGTAATTAGATTGATGCTGCTTGAATTTACAGAAATGTAATTGGCATTATTTTGAATGCTGATCTTTCAGCACTTTAGTGGATGGTTCATTAAAGATCATGCAGAGGTTTTTTGCTTGATAAGCTAATTAAACAACTCACTTATAACTGTAAGTATAATTTAATAATAGTTCTTAAAAAGACGCCTGGATTGGATGTCTTGATAAGGACACTAGAGTCCTTAATATCCCGAACTGGCAGAAGTTCTTGAAGGATAGAGCTGTCTTTAGAAGATCGCTGAACGCGGCAATGGGCCCATGTGCGCCTCAGTCAATTAAGTAAGTAAGTTAAGTGACAAGCTTGTCTATAGCAATTGTGATGACAATAGTTTAAGAAATTGGACAAATATTCAAACTGCTTCATTGGCTCAAGAACAGAGAAGTCTAAAGTTTTACAGAGTGGGTTTTAAAAAAGAATAAAAAGCTAATAAGTGTCAGAGCTTAGTAGAAGCAGTCGTATTAAGCTTTATGGAGGCGTATCTGTCATTCAGATCTGACTGAATATCTGAAATCATCTCTAATGTGAAGACTAAGTTCGATTCCCACCAGTGTGCTGATCCTTATAATCATTATGAAGAGTATGATTAATATTCCAAGGTTTTCATAAACATTACATGTAGTAGCTTTGCAGGACCTTTGTTTAGATTGTAATCTCATTAAATCTTTATAACTCAACAGACACAAAAACAAATAAACATTTTACATGCAAAAAGCACATCAACCTGACGCAATATATGTGCATCTATTTTTGAAAACATAAATTACCTCACTCCCAACATAAGTTTATATTTATCCTTCTTTATTTAGAGTTAACCCAAATCAACAATCTTTAATTATGAATGAATCAAATGTATATAATTAAAGCTGATACTTAACATTTAAAATTACTGACCGCGAACAAACTAGTCATTGAGCTAATATTAAAAGGTTATGAAAATCTATGACATTTACGATTCTATCCCTAATATTTATGGTCGTTACTTGGTCGTTACTGTAAGCAATAATGGTTTTACGTCGGGGATCTTTCACGTATGATGTTTATTATTTGAGGGGGTGGAGATGGTGAGGGATTATGATCTTGTGTCATTAAAAGTAACTGACGAATGAACAAATGAGAGGGAGTTTGAAAAACCCTATCTAATGGTCGTCATAACTGAACAACTCCTTAGGGGCTGTTCACTTATTACGTAACGCGAAAAAATGACTTCTTAGACCCCCCCCCCCCCCCCTCGTAACAAAATTTGTATGAAAAAAAAATTTCCTTGTTTGAATCGTAACAAAATCTTAGACCCCCCCTCCCCCTAAAAGCGTTACGTAATAAGTGAATGGCCCCTTAAGTAATTCATGAAGTATTCAACCAAAAAAATCAATTTCCCATTTTGAAGCTTTAAAAAATTTTTATTCAACCAAAAAAAAATTCAATCAACGTGAACAAAAGTCCTCAATTTGGTGGGGAAAAGGAGAGAAAAAAAAATCATTCAATTTGGACATAATCAGTTTTCATCAGCAATTCACAAATTTCCACATGAAAATCTATTCAACATCAACACATAGAAGCAAAGGGATCATAAAACACAAGGATATGAATGAATGAGTGAGCAAATGATAAAAAAAAGAAGTGAAAAAGAAAACACTCTAGGAAATGAAAAGCGAAAGGCAAAAGCGGTAAACGGAAGGATAATCTAAATCTAGTCATATTTCATTGTATGTACATGAGCTTCTGCAAGGCTTTGTCGCTTTTGTCACATTCTCGTGGGCATAGATTGAGTGGTTTAAGGAATTTTCTCTCTTCTTCTTTTTTGTTCGAGTCTTTAAATTCTGCGAATTGCCAAAATGGAAATGGAATTTGAACCTTTTTGCCCTGCGGCGTAAGAAGACGAGAAAGATTGAATGTCACGTGTCTGTAGAAATTTAAAAATTAGCTGCCATTACTCTTACAATTTTTTTTTTCAACTGCCTGTCAGTCAGTGTAGAAGCCTTGGAATTTTTTATGTTATTTCCTTTCTTCTTGGATTCAACTTTTAGTACAACAGCATCATTATTTACCTTTCTGTATTTATGTTTGCACATTTTTTTTTTGGCCCTGGTTACATAACGTCTTCCTCTCCGGTAAAATGTTTATGTATATAAAACATCCCACACTCTATTTCTTTTATATGATTATACTCCAAATATGATATTCATGAATTTTATTTACAACGTACAATGTGCTGTTCTCTGTTGTTTCTTCCTTATTCACTATATCGATTTCTTATCATAATCTGCCACGCTCTCTCTTTTTATGTACTTTATTTGGCCACACGGAAAAACAAATTGTGCTCTAAATTTCGCTTGAAAGAAAACACTCTTTCATATACACTCGAGGAGCTTGCTGTATATTTATATATTTATTATTTATTATATTCGCGTATTATTCTTTGTTTCTTGTCTTATGACAACAATATGAAGAACAAAACAACAACAACATATATATTTATTATTATGATATAGATTTGGATGTAGCTACAAGCTTCTTCTTCTTCTTTATTTCCTTTTTTTTCTTTTGTGCTTTTCACACTCACAAAATTTTTATTTTCCTTTATTTTTTTTTATATGCTAGGCTAAACTTAACCTAGAGCGGTCTTCCTTTTTAACACTTTCTCTGATTCTTCAAGCGTACACACAAATTTTTTTTATTATTGCACATAAAATTGTTCCTTAGTCACAAAGCTAGTGCTGCTAAAAAAAATATCGAGTTTCTTTCCATTAATTATTATTCCATTCACTAAAACCTTGCCTCATTCGATATTAACATGACACGAATATAAAATCTATACTGAACTATTTTTTGTTTCTCTCACTTTTTTTTTTGGTTTTTAGCCGAAATAAAAAACTTTTTTTTCTTCCCTTTGCCAAACTTGACAGACACTATGACTCACGTCTATTTATAGTCGTGGAGGGATGAATGAATTTTTAATCAATTTTCTCAAAACTTCACTACTATAATTCGCCTTACTTTCTGTTTATTTTATGATAAATGAGAAATTTCTTTTTTTTCTCTTCTTTTTTTTCAATTTGCAGCGAGAACAAAAACGACACTCATTATGTCACGTCGCGCTCGTATCTGCTGATATTGTTTCATTCACACACAATCATTCCCCTATAGCGAGGATTTAGGATAAAGCGTTCGTGCAAGACTATGATAAATTCATATCGACGCTATTGTCGAGCTCGTGTTTTGTGGATAAAATGCTCGTACCGAACTGCGTCGTATGGAATATTGACAGATGTTGCGCATGCACGATAAGAATGGCCGAATTCGAGTGCTTTTCCAGTTTCGGTTCTCGACTTGAGATTTTCTTGGTGTCGCTAAAATTTTTCTTTTTTTCTTCTCCGTACACATGGAGTAGTTCCATACAGTCTCATCGTATATCCCCTTTTTTCTTATGCAAACAAATTTTATGCAGCACCTGATTCGGGGAACATTCATTGACGATGACGGGGAGAAAGAGAAAAGTGGAAAAAAAAAGTCACAACATATTTTAAAATAGGCATGAATAATGTTGAGGATTATGTAGGTGAATATTTATAAAGCTATTTCTCATATTCTCTCTCACTTTCTCCTTCTCCCTTTTCTTCATCTGTTGTAGCGACACATCTATAGCGTTGTTGCAGTGTCATAACAATTCATGTATGGTAAAAAATGAAAATATATGCAATTATTATTCAGGAGTTGGGTGGATGGGGTGAATAAGTGAGTGAGAAAAGCGTCATAAGTACGATTATACTTTTCATGTATATAATGCCTTATTTCAACATTGGGATTTAGATAAGGCATATATGACGATGAGAAAGCTCTTTTCGACTGTTGCTATACCTTTTTCTTCTCTAACCACCATACGTACATGATTGTGCTCTTGTAAACATACAATTTAAAACATATTGAATTATTGATTGAACTTATTAAGACTCAGCTGATGGTGTAAATAATAGAAATATATATGTGAATGAATTCTCTCTAGTCAATAAATTTTTATTAGCGTTAAGCATTAAAAAATTTTGAAAACGTTATTTTTTACTGAATGTGAACTTTATTTTGTATTTATTTGGGAGTTGCTCCATTTCACGCTTTTCTGCAACAATTTATTTGTACATTTTAGCTAGATTATTGGAATCCACTGGTGTCATTTTGACATGATTTATTGAAAATTAAATGATGCTGATTTTTTTTGCAATTTGAAAGGTTGATTGTTATCCATTAGCTTTATCAGGTGTTGTGAAAAACTAGCTCTGTTGGACACTACTAGAGTTTGAAACTTCAAAGGTTTTGAATCTTTCCTACTTGATTTTTGTCCATCTCTAAGGCATAGTTTATAGAACTTATAACATGAACCCTTCATAATATCTTTTAATGTACATCCATTTCATTAGTGCTTTTCCTTTGACTTATTTCAAATTTCCAAGATCATTAAACAACTGAACAAGCACCATTTGTATTTATAAACTGCAGCCATGTTAACACGAATCAGAACCAAACAGCACTACGCAACATTTAATAGACTTGTATTTTGGATTACTAATTAGATGCACCTTGAGATTATATACCAAACGAGGCAATGTCTTACTGTCTTTATCTTCAATGTTTAAAGTGGAACAGTGTTGCGATCCAGGTCGTCTGTAACAGTCACAGGTGACAGATCTATTATACCTGTGGGCAGATTTGACAGATATGTGCCTGTGACAGGCAAAAAAAAAAATATTGCCTATGACTGATCGCAACCCTAATGTGTAATTGAGTGTTGTAAAAACTTTCTTGAGTCACGGCACACCTTAGTAGGTAAGCCATGACCAAAGTCGGAAACAACATGTGGCTCGCGTCACTTCCAAAAAATTTTAAGGCACACAGTTTGAGCAACACTTGTGAAATGTTACAAAAACTTGATGTGGTCGTCAACTAAAGCTCTCGATTCTTTGATGTTGATTGACCAAAGGCTAGTTTTAGGACTAATCTGGGCATCACTAAACTTAAAAATTGACTGTGCCTAGACTGTAGGTGGCAGAAGAGGTGCTTTGCAATACAAAAATCCTGAGTAAAATTAAATTTGATTAGCAAGACAATTTGAAAATTTAAATTCTTTTGGCTACGTATCTATCTAAAACCGTCAAACACGAATCTAGCTAAGCATCCGTCCTATTTATATTGCTATTTAAATACAAATTTGTAGTTAAAAGCGCTTTAGAATTTAAATGACAAAAAAATACTAGCTTTATTCTATATATGAATATTTTATTTTTCCACCTCGCGATTTCTAGCAACCGATCGCAATTGAAATTTATGTGTATAAAAATAAATCCGTATGAGAAGAGAAAAAAAAATTGTTTTTTGCTCTTTTGCCGTTTCCACCCAGACAAATTTGTCAATAATTTGAAAAATGAAATGGTTTCGAAAATTTTTTCATGTGGAAAATATCAAATTTATATCAATAGCTCGCGAATATTTTTTGAGGAGATAAATATATTTATAGAATTTGCAGCACAAAAAGTTTTCAATTTGAAATAAAAAGAAGTGAAATTTTTTTATTGAGGTTTCGTCTCAAAAGCCAATTATTTGTTCACGCTGCTTGTTATTTTATTAAAATGAGGCAAATTTTCTTAAATGCTCTTATTTTCTTATGTTTTTTTGACACACCGCACATAAAAATTAAACTTTTTCTCTTTCCTATCCTATTTTGTGTTTTTCTCTCGATTGCTGTATTGTTTTACACTTCTTTCCAGTTTTGGAAATAAAATATTATGTTGGGTTGTTTAAGTGTTGCGTAACAATAAGAAATAACACATCTAATTAGAATCAGAAGTTTTACTAAAGTCTTAGCTGAATAATGCTGAATTAAGTTAAAATTAAGTTGAAGTTAGTGCTGAATTCGGACAAAAATGTGCTGAATAGTGCTGAATTCAGATAAAATTGAGTATAATTCAGATAAAAATGTACTGAATTTTGATAAAATTGAATTTAATGGTGCTGAATTCAGATAAAATTAAGCTGAATAATCCCGAATTAAAATAAAATTGATCTGAATAGTTCTGAAATCAGATAAAAATGTGCTGAATTTAGATAAAATTGAGCTGAATTCAGATAAAATTGAGCTGAATAATACTAAATTCAGATAAAATTGAGTTGAATTCAGAAAAAATTGAGCTTAATAATACTGAATTCAAATAAAAATGTGCTGAATTCAGATAAAATTGAGCTTAATAGTGCTGAATTCAGATATAATTGAGCTGAATTTAACCCAAAATGAAATATTTGGCATTCAATCAAATAAGGATCAATGAGCTTCTAAATTTCCTGTGATTAAAACCTTCATCTTCCCGTAGAATATCAAAACAACCCCTCAACAAAAATTTAAAGGCGATGAACAAATTTTAAAATCTTTAACTCAAAACCGATTATGAATTGTACAAAAACTTTGATTTGTTGAAAAAATAAGGAAGAAGTTTTGAATAGAAATTAATTTTGCGCAAGAAAGTTTTGTTGATTTTTCTTCCTTCCCACAGAAGTTTCTTCTTTAATAAACGATCCTGTTAAAGCTTAAGATTTTTTTTCATTAATTTCATTATGGCTAGATATTTAATAAGTAGAAAAGTCTCTTATTAAGCATACGTATTTATTTTTCTATGAAAAATTATTCATTATCATGAAAGAACTGCTGCGTTTATGTGTTGAAGAATGAAAATTAATTCATGGTGAAGTGCCTTGTTATGAAATAAATATCTTCGATGTTAATGAATACTTTTTAACTTATGAGACTTTTTAAGGATTTCATGATACAGGAATATTGTTTTAAAGATGCGGGTTTTGGTTGCAATTGAGACAAAAATGGTAATTAAAATTTAATTAACAAGAAGTATTTTTAAAGTAGTTATGGTGATGAAATGAAGGAAAAATTAATTTTAAAATACGCTGAGGTTTTCTCTTACTACAAACTTATCTTTGAAAAGTTTAAATTGAATCTAGGATGGAAATACGGTTGATAAAAACTTACTCTTGGTATAGTTTTGAACAGACTTTTTAAACGTGGGAAATCAAGACTTGACAATAATCAGCAAAATGCTTTGATAACCTACTACTGCCTACTACAAAAAAATGTCTATCAAGCTAAGAAAGTGAACCAGTTTATTCAAGTTTAAAATATAGTGGTCAGGCTGTTTGCTGGAAATGTGCAATTCTCTTTCTCGGAGAGCGTAGTTCGATTCTCAAAGAATTTGAACTTTTAATCAATAAAAACTGAATTGTGCAGCTGTTGTCAATATGACTAGGTTTATTTATAAACTCACAATTGGTATTAGTGTAAGAGTTCTCAGATAGATGCCTTTGATAAAGAACTGGATCATGGTACCTTATGCTTTTTTCCAGAAATTACCAAATATTTAAAAAATATTTTATAGCCAACCACATGCTTCACACCTTCAGATGAGAATAGCTCAAGATAAAAATGATGCTTTGTACACCCATTTTAGGTAAGACCCCACAGCTTACGGTACGAACGTTCATTATAAAGACATAATCATATTAAAAAAAAAAAAATTCACAAAATTTTGTGCACATCCAAAACGCTGCTTAACAATCACCGCTCATCATCTAACAAAAATTTACCTCAATTCTTCTAAAACAAAAAAAAAATTTAATTACAATTTCATTTTTCGCTTTAATTTTATGCTCAAAAATCCACAAAGTGTTAATCTTGTTATGAGACATAAAAAAATTTATATGAGTGAAAGACTTAAAAATTGAAGGAAAATGAGCGAAGAGAATGAGGTGAGTGGATGAAATAAAGGAATAAAAAGTTGTAAATAAAACATTTTCATTCATTTTTTCCAGCATGAAGCTCAATATAATAATTTGAGTGAAGAGAAAAGCCATGCAATGTTTACCGTAAAGAACATATTTTGTCGACTGCCACAAATATTTTATGGGATACTTTGAGTCATAAATTTATGATAAAAATGTGGTAAATATTTGAAATGCAGTCGCACACATTTTTCATAACATTTGATGACATCATAAGATTCCTTATTCGTACCTTAGACTTATTTAATGCGGAAGGTATGAATATGTGTGGTACAGCACATGTGCTTGAGTACTTAACATCCAAATCATCTATGCTATACTTTGGTCG